GTTCTATAAAATATCTTAATGAGAAAATTGTGTAAAGATAATACTTTCAAAGTTATGGCTGTTTTTTAGGTGTCAATTTCGGGGGTTTTTCAATGTTTTTTTTTACTTTTTCAAATGGAACTATTTCTTAAACCTATCAGGAACTCTGGAACTATTCAAAATCTATCCAGAACTCTAAAAAAAAATGATTTTTTTTCGAAAATGGGGGGCTGCGTGAAGTTAGCCCCCCCCATTTTTTAAATCGCATTTTTATGGCTTTAATAGCCGAAACTATTTCTTAAACTTATCAGGAACTCTGGAACTATTGGAAATCTATTCAGAACTCTCAAAAAAAATTATTTTTTTAATAATGGGGGGCTAGCTTCACAGGGGTCATTTTCTCGACTATTTAAATGCTATAAAATATATAACAATTAAAAATATCTTGGTTTAAACTCGATTTCATCAATAAAAAATGTTTAAAAGAGATCATTCATTTATTAAAAAAATATATATTTCTAAAAAAATTATTTTATCTAAAAGTATAAATATAACGAATATAAAATATTATCTTTCTAATTCGAGTAAATACACACAAAATTTTTGTTTTTCACTCTGAGATCGTCAGAAAAGAGATATCAATTTTGTCAAAGTTGAATCTTTCTCGAATAAAAAAATGTGACCTTTCAACTGGATTTATTAGCATCGTAAACAACAGCGGTATTATCCATATTGCTTTGCAAAAAAGCAAAGGAAAGAAGATAATCAATTAAAGCTTCATAAATTGAGAGAGAGTTTAGCAAAAAATTCCTGTCATTAATCAAGCGGCTTTCATTAATTGAGTAATTGCAGCGAGCTTATCTCGCCAACGATGAGCTTGTTTACGGTGATTATGCATTAGCAAGCGATCGCTGAAATTTGCAATAAAGTTTCCAACTGCTCGTTCACATATGAATATTCAATCGTTTCCCCGGCCGAATTCATGAAATCGCTTTGTTATGTTAATCGTTGGTACTCACATAGCGAATACGTGAACAAAATGGAAATTTAACTGTAAATGCACTGACTGGGCGAGTTGTAAAAAGTGCGCATTGTGCAAAGGCGTATTATATCGACGATTCGCTATTCTGCCTTCGCTTTCAATGGAAAAACGACGGAAATTTAAAACGTAATTTTATCATGATTAAGTTGCAAGTGCAATTTGTTTCGAAACATCACAAGTTCGAATTGCAAATCGCCTTCTTGCACAATGAGCGACGGGCGACCGCGACTTTCTCTTTCTTGAATATTCTACGATATTTAATAATGCAATATATTGTTACGTAGAGTACCTTATTTATAAACGCAGCGGCGTTAGGTCCGCGACAACTCGATGTGTGCACGCGTATCTTCAGCAACCCTTTAAAAGAGACGAAGAGCTCATCGGAGAAAATAATAGCACGTTCTAGCGTTACATCGATCCTTGACTGATTAAGGACAGCAAAATTAAGCGAGGTGTCTCAGGTGATGCGCTAAAAATAGGCGCTGTGTAATGTTCCACTTACAACTATAAGTCTACTTCGTTCTACTTGCACCATCCAGGTCCAGCATGCATCCGAAAATCGACTATCTCCCTTGTCGCCGGAGGACGGAGAAATCAGATCGCAATCATTACTTATCGAGTACACTATTTTTCTTTAACTTCATTCATACTAGAGATCGAGAAAACTTCGATATACATTCTCCCTGATATAACCTACCGATGCTGCAGATACGGGAGTATTGAATGTCAGTTTTCGCAATTAACGTAAAAAAATTATTTTCCTCCATTATATTGAAATCTTGATTAATAGGAAATTATAATCAGATTCCATCCATCAAATGCTCGAAATAGTTATTTGAGAAGTTTTCCTCAATACTCAAACTTCAATATTTCAAACTTTAATATCTCATTTATATTAATTTTATTTATAGAATTCCTTTCTAACTCATCTACCAATAATCAGATTATCGATAATTACGAGAAACGCACATTTAAAGCTCATACATTTGATAATTAGTTTCTAAGATAAGCATATTATTGCTGCGATATGATAATTTCTTCAAAAATTTTAAGAATGAGTTTTATCAGTTAATTGTAAATAAAACTACTATGGGACAAATAATAAATTACGACTAATAATTAGAAAAACAGTGGAATTGCCAAAGGCAAAGTTTCTTTCCCAAAATTACATACGTTATCACAATTGGATAAGCGTACCTATATCGAAAATATTCAACAAGCAATATAAATAATGTGGCATACAATATAAATAATGTGATACACTTTTTCTTTAATTTATTATCTATCTGAAAACAATATATTATACTGCATTCTAAACTATAGAAAGAAAAATTTAATTAGTTTTAGTCGTTTTATTTAAAGATAGTGTATATCATTTCATATATATTCATTTAAACGATTGATTACTTAACTCTGCTATATAATTTTTATACAAATTTATCGAACGGCAAATGTAATCCCTGAGAAAACGTTATAAAATCGTAAATTATTTTATGTCAAGTTATTTTTTTATTTCTTTTATAAAGTACAAATATGTTTAAATAGTGTTCTCTGTAGATTTTTCTGTAAAGAGAAAAAATTCCCAAAATTGAGATCACGTTATTGTAAGTTAGTCGTTTCAACAAAGTCTATGTAATTAGGTTGTTCCGATACGAGAACCACCTGTAATGTAAAACCTCGATCATAAGTAATGTCCAAGTAACGCAAAGAAGAAAACCGTGCCACTTTTTCGAGGAGATCCTACTCAAGGTACCGTTCGGTGTATCTCTTCTTTTTTGCGCGATGCCTCGTTTAGGGAACGAGGAATGTGTTCAAAGTGAACCATTGCCTGAGGCAGATGCTAATTTCACAGCTGAAATCACGAACGGTCTAAACACAATTGCAAGCCTTGAAAAGTGATACTTCCCATCAATTCTCGCCGTAGGATCCGCAAAGATTACAAACTCTTAACACATTTCCAGATTTCTAATTTACGAGAAAAGAACGATTTTGTTAAAGTATCTAAAATTGAAAATAATTTTGAACTATCAAAATATTTATGAAAACTCAAGCGTGATAAGTACCGTAAGAAATTGTGACATTCTACTAATCAACTTGAATATCCCTAATTAATTATTTTAATAGTCCGATAAAATTATTTTCATATTCAAATTATTTTGATTAAAATTATTTTCGGATTTGTCAAATTTTTAGATGCTTCAGTAAATACACGTTTTCTTCTTCGAAAGAAACAATTCGACGTAAAATCGATCGTGGCGAATCTATTGCCACTGTCGTAGCAAGGAATTGTATAACGCTTTGCAAGAAGATTGTTAACAAAAGTATACAGTCAGAAAACAAGCATTAAGTTTCGCGATGAGTATTTTTACTTTCAATGAGAAAGAAGTCAGAATGGAAAAAATGTTGAAATGATCTTGTTGCTGCGTCGCGACAGGATTTACGTCCGATGACTCTGTACGTACCGCTTGGAATACAACATCCTGTATGCAATATCCTTCCGTAGGAACCTCGTTGCCTACAATCGAACGTTGATCGTCGTTGGATATCGCCCGTAATCAGTAAGCCCACTTCACGAACGAGTTTACCGAAGCCGACAGAGAGACCGAACTTCACGGACGTCCGTTAAGAAGGTAAAGACCAGCGGTGATTGCTGATGAATATTCGTCCACGGCTCGTATTTACCATGCAAAGCTTTCTGCGCGCTGACCCCAGGACGCGAGTGCGTATTATATGATAATGGTGGGATCGACCCGATCGTCTCCTACAATTATTCCGGTATTTATCCCTGGCCGCCATCCACGATCATCACCTTTGATCAGCTATTGAAAGTCGTGCGGACTCGATCGATTCCCCACCGCCTTTCTTTTTTTCTCATCGCTCGATTTTAAGTACCTGTTCCTCGTCAAAATCCTAACGTCAACCAATATATGTGCTCATAGTCCTAATGACAAAACCAGTCACTGTCGTCATCAACCGGTTTTTTTTTCAAATATGGTAAAATACATAAACGGTAGAATGAATTAGTTCTTTAGCAGGCAATGTGTACGCCGAACATAGATAATCGAAAAGGTAAATGTCAGTAATCCTAGGAATACTTTTCACGTATGTTAGAGAGATAACACATATATTATTAAGTCAAGTAATGAAATGAGATAGAATTGTAAAAATGAAAACTGTGCTGAGTTATGTTAAAAGATATGACGTCGCGAAAGTACATATCTCGCTTTCCGGTAATTTTTCAATCGCACACGCACGCAATATGTGTAAAATACGTCACGCTGTTCCCGGGAAACGGAATTATTTGCAATTTTGATGAACTTTACTAATGACACGGGAGAAAAAATTCTCGCGGAATTATCCTGGACTTCGGATTTAACGATCGAGCAAGATCAATATAGCGCATCAATATTCAGTGAAGAGTAAACATTTAATAGCGTGAAGAGTGTTCACTGGTACTTTTTGTTCATTTAATAATGTTCGTCTCTCGACTAGAGTCTAAACTACGTTAAAAAAACTTCAGAATAACACTTGGTAATATTTTTTTCCACATCATGTTTTTTTTGACGTATTTCTCAGAATTATTTGTAGGAGAAACTCCCGATCTCAAGAAAAGGAGAAAGATAAAATTATAATTATCACTTGACTAAATCAAGCATTCATTGTACGTAGAGAACCGATGCAATTTGAAGATCTTCAAAAGTAGAACACTATTTAATTTTTTCATACATGTCCTAAATAAACAAGATTTGTAGCGTCATTATTACTTTATAAATCATCGTCCACTTTCTGCGTCGGTACTATCACCGATGAACTTTCTAAGACGATTGACATACGTAACGCGCTCTACCTCATCATTCACCGCTCTCTCATTATTTTTCTCTTTCATGTACTCAACAGAGGAAACGTGCCTTTACATCATGATTGAAGGGTATCAAGAAAAAGAACGATGCATTTCTTTGGCGCGAAACGCGATCTCACTTGATCTAAAATGGCCAATCAAACATTTGTGGGCTAATTCCATAATTTTTGTTTGTTAGTAATAGTTAAAAGTATTAAAAATATTAAAACAGCATTAAAAATAATAAATAAAGTATATAATATAATAATATTAAATATATTAATTAACTCAAATATTAAATTAATTCGCAATATTAAAGTACTTCACATAGTAATACATCACTAAATTACTAATAACAGCCGCGATAATTTCAAATAATTTGGCACATACTGTTTTCTAAATTATTTCATAGGAAAAATTTCTGACAAAAAATTGACATAGTTTTATAATATTTAAATTATAATTATTACATGTTTTTGAATTTATTATGTTTAAATGATTTTTTATTACTTTGATCTCGTATCTTTTATAATTAGTGAGGTTCAATATTTTTTTCAATGTGCATTTCATGATTTCTTCCTTAATAAATTAAGATGAAAAAAATTCAAGACTTAATGTACGTCAACATTTAATTTTCTTCTACATATTGTCTAGTTTGCATATTTACTTGAACATACTTATTTTTATTCATTGATATATATGTATATGTATGTACATTACATATTATACGAATAATTGATTTATAGAATATTACGTCACACAATATAAATAATTAAACAAATAAGAAATAAGATCCGGCCGTTTTAATGTATACAACATACATATGGTAGAGAGCGCCAATGATTGGTCAAAGTTAGATGTTATGAATACAATATATATTCTTAATTTAAATTTAATTATCTCAGATGTGACTGTGCGCCGAAACATTCGAACATTTAACCACAATCAATCTGAGACGCTAATAATATAAATATGATGAGGAACCGAAACATTCGGACATTCTTATATATGAAATATATCATCCCTCCCCTCCCCCCTCTAAATTAATTCGGTAAAGAATGTTTCAACTCCTTATCATATTTATATTATTTAGCATCTCAGATCGATTGTGGTTAATGTCCGAATGTTTCGGCGCACAGTCATATCTGAGATAATTAAATTTAAAGTAAGAATATAGGAATATTGTATTCATAACATATCTAACTTTAACCGATCATTGGCGTTCTCTGTCATATGTATGTTATATAAATAATTAGACATACGTGTATAATCACAATGCTTTTTGGGGCTCGTACAAGGTCATGAAGTGATATTTATAGAATACATTTAAAATCACGTATGATTACATCGAGGAAAAGAGTAATGCTTATCACACATAACAGCGGATAAGACTATAACCAATCTTGTTATTGGACATCTGTTGAAGCTCGATAACGTACACACCAATATTTCGTGAAAAAATGCATCAACACTGCAAAATTTTATAAATATGAAATATCAAATTTATAGTATATCTACAATGTAATAGAAATATATCATTAATTTCACCGTGTCAATTTAGTCGAAAAATTCAAATATAAAAAACTTTTTAAAACATCTTTAATAATATTATATTTTAAAAAATATAAATTGCATAAAAAAGATAAATTTATATATGTATAAAAATTTTTTCAAGTGTAAGTAAAAATCTACTTTTAAATCATTTTGGTCGCTCGCACGTGTATGTGTGTATGTGTAGGGAAGACCGGGGATAATAGTAACATCGACAATATTTCTTTAATTATAACAGATACATGTATGTGGCCGCGTGGTAAAATTCTATAAACAGATAGGCATCGAATCGTTCGTTACATGCTGATTTTCGCGGAACATGCACGAGTGCAGAAGCAGAAATTTTTTTTCATGCATCAAGTAACGTTTATTGCGTGCGCGAAATTTAAAATATTTTTTTTTCTTTATAACAAAGGTATAATGTATTATTTTAATATGTTTTAATGATTATCTGTGTGATGTTTTTCACATTTGAGTTGCTTTTTATCTAGATTTTTATTTAAAAAATTTACTATGAATCATAAAATACCATTAGGGGACAATAGTAACATCGATGCCTGGGATCAGTTATCCAATTTTGTAGAATCTGAATTTTGTAAGGACGGTTACTTCGGTTTACTTAATAGCATTATCAGCGACTTTTTTATATTTGGCGAATATTTTTTGTAATTAAACCATGGCATATATCCAGGATTTATTTTTTGACAACTACATCTATTCATTGTTGGATACTTAGCGATATTTGAATGTTTAGCGTAAATCCAGGATCTACCTTCTGTCGACTACATATAACTGAAATCAGGCCTGAACAACGAAGGTCTATTTTTAATAATTTTCATTATACTACTATAATTAGTGATCTATGTTAATCTATTGTAGTCAACCGCTTTCATATACATACTTGTTTATAACTTTGAAAATGAAGGTGATCGAAACGTTAGTTGATGTTGACATATTTTTAGTTTAATGTAGATATTACATATTTTTATTTTGTTTTTACTTTTATTTTACTTAATGTCAACTGTATCATATGTACATTAAAATTTGTTTTGTTTTGGCTCGTAGCTCTTCTGATTTATTTTGTTTTATTTGAATTATTTGAGCCTTTCTTAATTATGTATTTTTATTAATAAAACCAATAAAATAACCATTATTTTATTTATAAATAATATGGTACAATTGTCCCTCTCTACTGTTGCAATCGTCCCAGGGGTTGGGACGGTTGTAACAAAATTCCTGATAGTCTTTAAACAAACATAACTTTTTTTCTAGTTACATTGAAAAATTGAATCAAAGAAAATTTTGTAGCTAAATAAATTCTACATCTAAAGGTATATACTTTTTTGTAAATATTATATTTTAACTGTTATAACACTTCAAAGTCAAAATGTTACTTTTGTCCCCGGTCTCCCCTACTTTAAATCAAAATAAAATGTATATTCATACATATATATACTCATATAAATCACATGTTCAGGATTTAAAGCACATTTTACTGAAGAATCATAATTTTTGCTGACGTAATAATTATCGACATAACTTCCACCAATTCACACGATTTACATCGTTGCTATTATCTACCGGAAAATTACGCACTAACAGCAAAAGATCGTCGACCGCTTTCGCTGACCGCCAGTGATTTTCCGCAATGTGCATTTCATTGGAAGAATTAAACTTGATTTCATCATGTCGGCGGTATTTGCGATCGATGTCAAGAAATGCTAATTGGAGTTGATATTGACTTGTGTATATAGATTAATCAATGCAAATTTCTCCCCTGCACTCGCGGCGTCACGTCAAAATATTCGTTAAATCACAAATTCAAATGTATGGAATTTATTATGGCTACAACATAACAATGCCATTTATTCCTATGTTTTTCGAAAATATTTCAGACTCATTGTATAATTAATGTAAAGATACTTCATTAATAAAAATATTTCTATTAGTATTTCACGTATTCACTGTTAATTTCGTATAATACCAAATTATTATATACAAATTGAATAATTTTTCATCATTCTAGGTCAAGCCACTGCTTCTATACAATATGTCGTTAATTTAACTAAAACAATAGTTACAAAATTCAACTAAAATAATTATTAAATTTGATTATTCAAATTTAATTTATTATTTGATAAATGTATAAAGTTAGAACGCTATTTACTTTAAAACTTTTCTTTAGTTGAATAAGCAATCGAATAAACAATTAAAAAGAA